TTTCTGAAATCCATTCAAATAGAAGAAGTGAAGCGGAGCAAATGTATTTCAAACATGTAATCCAATGACGATTTTATTCCTTGTTGTGATTATGTAAACGCTCACCCTTGATTCATGCAATCACTCACATCTCAGCGGCCGAAACTGAAAGGTAAGCGGCACCTTCTTGTTCACTTATTCGATTTTCAATTCTTTTTCGTTTGGAAAAAAGACCTGATTGGGCATATTTTGTATTTTTCAAGGCAACGTCTTCATTTGTAGTGGATTTGACAACTGGAAACAGGTATGTTTTTGTTTATACTTTAAACTGTCAGGAATGCAAACCTTTTGAACAACTGTTATATCGCACGATTACATGCATCTTTAAAGAGAAATTTGGGTTAGTAGGCAGCCCTTTGCAGGTTCCTCAGATTTTTCATACTTCGTAGATGTAAACGAAATGTGATTTTAACAGTGTGCTTTATGTTTTTTAATTTAAAGTTAAAAAAACAACAATTTTCCGTGTTTCAGTGTAATCAACAAGCAATCTGTTAAATAATCATTTTCCTAAGTTTGAGGTGAAAAGAAATTTCCATCACGGGGATACAGGTATTTGGTTTAAAAATTTCCAAAAATTGTTGGAAATCATGGGAAGCATACGGTATGAATTGGTGTAAGTATTGCCTGCTCAGTTTTAAAATTGCGGAAATTTTCATTTCGTGATAATAAATGCAATCTGTTCATCATTTTGAACAACAGGAACAATTCTAAGTTCAAATCAGAGGTAAATGGTCGATTAATCGACTCGAAGAACCTTATGTGTTTGAAATTTTCCAAGATGTGAGTCAAACTTGAACATTGCACTAAATTTATAAAGGTGTTATTTGCAGTCGTGCCGATAGACCAATATCTAAAGTTGATAAACAAACAAAAACAGATTATCGAAAGATCTATTATGCGTGCGCTGAATATAACAATAGTAAGGTTAAAAGCAACCCAGCTTCGAAAAGCGAAAAATCTCGCGAGTTTAACAATGAAATGGAGACCATATGCTAAAAGAAACGGTCTGAAGGACAAAGCTCAGTTTGTCGCCGAAGTTTTAGGAAAGACAACTGACCGCAAACTTAGCAAGCGGAAAAAAATTAAGGTAAAATGAAAGTCCTTAGGCGTGCACTGATGATGGTCTAAAACTACATATTTTACCC